GTACTCCTTTCCCAATTTTGAACCAATCAGTTGTTCCATATCCAGTTGCTAACTGTTGCTTCCTGTCCCACGTATAGGCTTCTCAGGAGATAGATAAGGTGGTTAGGCACTCCCATTTCTTTAGGAACTTTCAATAGTTTGTTGTGGTCCACACAGTCAGAGGCTTTTGCGTAATCAATGAAGCAGAAGTAGATGTTTTTCTGGAACTCCCTGGCTTTCTCCACAATCCAGCGCATGTTAGCAAATTGGTCTCTAGTTCCTCTGCCCCTTCGAAATCCAGCTTGTACTTCTCGGAGTTCTCGGTCCACATATACCTGTCAGCTATTTTTTCCTGCTCTCTCTGTCCATTCAATTTCTGCTGCTTCCCAGTGCTGAGTATTTTTGGCCCTATTCTTGTGTTTTGCTTACCTCTTGACGATGTTCCTCTTTCAGAGTACAATTCATAGCTTCTAAATGCTTCAAAATGGTTCAGGAAGGTTATTCCCTTGATCAGAGGTCCCCAAGCCCTGGTCTGCAGCCCACTACCAGTCCATGGCCTGAGCCGGACTGGCCATGAAGACAGACCTCCGCATGTACTCACCTCCACACAGCTGATTTGTGGATGCCCGTGCGCTCCAGTTTGCCCGTGTGAGTGCCATGGCACCGTTTGTGCATGCTTATGAGTGTGCAAGCACGCCCACACAAGTGTGCTGCAGTTTGTGCATGCGCATGAGTGGATGTGCTCAGCACAAGCGCTGCACCACTGTTTGCGCATGCATGCAGTCTAGTTCACGCATGTGCACGAGCACAGGAGTGCCCTGCCTCCCCAGCCAGTCCGTGGGGTGAAAAAGGTTGGGGACTCCTGCCCTAGATATTTGTTGCATGGATTTGGGAGGAAGAAGACCTTGTAATTTGCCCAGCATAAAGAACTGAGCTTCTTATCCGATATGGATCTAGTACAGTTGTATGCTTGAATGTGCAATGTACTCAGTTTAGATGAGACATCTAAACAGAAATCTAGAGCTGCAATTACAGGGGACACAGATTGCTGATGTCTGGCCCCATTAACCAGTGATTCATTTCTAATTAAAAAACAGTGGTGAAATTCCACATACATTCTCCTCTTTGTCTTCAAAGTAATTGGTTCCTTTGCTATAAAGAACAGCTCTCACCCAAGTCCCCTTGCTGGTTTGCATGCTTAGATTTTCTAACTAAATGATAGTTCTGGTATATTGATAACCCTATACCAAATCTAAAATTAGTGTTCAGTATTAAAGACTACATTATAAAGGAGAGAAGCAAGTGCATTGCATGTTTAAGAACATAAAATACTTCCATTGGATCATTTACCTAGTTCAGTGTCCTGCTTCCTGCAGTGGCCACCCAGTTAAGGGAAGCCCAAAAACGTAACTTTAAGGCAATACTGTAGTACTTTCCTGCTCACGTACTTCAGCAACTGCCTCTGATCCCGAAGGTAGTAGCCAACAAGAGTAGAAGCCATTAGTAAAGTATTTTGTCTGATCGTCATAATTTTCAGCTACGCACTGCTTTTGTATGTTCCGTACATTATACCTGTGATCTTTACAAAAATCTTATTAGGTATAGGTCAGTATTATCCCTGTATTGTAGATTGAAAATTGCTGCTGAGAGATAGTGGCTTGTGTGAGTTTCTTAGCATTTATATAGAAGAAGTGAGATTTCATTTCTGGAATTCTCGTGAATAGTGTAGAGGCCTCTTACCTGCCATGTTACACCGGCATTTTTATAGACAGCTTTAAGAAAGTCTCTTAAGGGG